TTAGCACTAACTCTGTAAAAGTCAACAGTGGTGACCATAGACAAAATTAATCATCTTCTTAGCAATTTAATGTTATTTAAAATAATATTACAGTTAGTGTAGTGTATTCTCAAAGTTGCAAATTGATTTTAATTTTAAAAATTAATATGAGAGAGATTACATAGATATTGCTTTATTAACTGTATTACCTTATCATGTTTTTATTTAGACATGGAAATAATAATTATAGGATAAGTCTGCCACTGTGTTGTTTTAAAACTACAAAGACATCTAAATGACTATGCCTCATAATAAACTGGCACTTATTTTTCTAATTTTTGTCTCTATTGGAACATGTCAGTAATAGATAATGCTCACATTCACTGCAGGCGGTAGGTACGTGTACGTAACACCTCTTAATTCTTCTTTCATCCCTCTACCCCTGGTTCCTTGCCATTTTGGGAAAGATCTGTCCCTCTGTTCACCGTCATCTATCTTCTCTTTTCCTGTTTATTCATATTTAAACCAGTATGGAGATTCTTCAAAAATAAAAACTAGAAATTCGATTCAAGCCACCCACTCCCCTTTTAGATACTTTCCTAAAAGACTTAAAAACATATTACAATAACGCGCGCATTCCTGTTTGTAGCAGCACAAGTCATCGCCAAGTCTTGAAAGAAAGCGCCCGCGCCTCTCAGCAGGTGAATGGACACAGAGAACGGGCCACTTGGGTGTGACCGAGTACTGCTGTGCCGCAGAGGAAGAGAAGCTTGGGTCGTTTATAGGAAAGTGGACGCACCTCGAGACTCTAATGGTACATGAAACCAGACACACAAGCTTAAGTATCTCAAGATTTCTTTTAGATGAGAAGCTACAAAAGAGAGAAATAGTTTCATAGAGAAGTGAGAAAATATAGTCATGGAGTCATAGTAAGTTTTAATATTAGCATGTGGTATTTAATAAGTACCTTGAATATAAAGATAATTATGAGACACAGATTAAAGTTGCTTATTGCCTTTTTAGCTATGGTCAAAAATCAACAGTAATTAATGAAAAATTAATCATTATTCATTTTAGTTCTAAGAAGTTTTTTAAGAGTCAGCATGACATTCACAGGAATAGAAAGGATAAATGCGGTTGAGTACAAATTCCATTGGTGGATCAACAGTTGCTGATGCAATGCTGGCTAAATATTCATGCCTAAAACCT